CCCAGTATATACTGCTATTTATCTTGTAGCCTGGTGGTGAAGACTGTGAATTCTGGACCCAGGATGCCTGGGTTTAATTCTGCTCTGTTGGTTACTAGATAAGTGAACTAATATTGATGTCTTAAATTTCTCTACTATAAAATGGCAATGATAATTATATTTACCACAGAATTCATTTATTTTTAAATGAATAAACATACCTAAGTACTTAGAATAGTGTCTGGTGCATGTGTAATATTACAGGAGAGTTTGTAATCATAAATATAATCATTAATAATTATCTTATGCTCAAATTGAGAGGCAACAAAGTTGGAAATGTACATTGAAACAAGATTGTGAACAATCTGATAGTTCACTTTAATGTGATTAGTAGCCTGAATCCCAATTGACATTTCAAACTTTGTCACCAATTAACTTTACCTTTTTTTTTTTTTTTGAGGAATTTCCCTATCAATAAGGTTTTAGAAATGAACTTTGGTACTTGTGACTTTTTCCTGATGACAATACAGAATGTGCTACAGAGATTTTGAATTGAACCTGTTAAGCATCTTTGACTACTGAAGTGCAGTATTCACTGACAACTTGTTACATGCTTTACAGTCATTAATTCTGCAGCCACTTCAGTGAGAATGATGATCGCAAAATCAAAATAAAACAAGAAAAAGGTGAATATGAAGCACAGGTAAATAAAGTGGCCATGACACTTAAGCGGGTGACAAAGCTGAGATTAATATTCTTAGACCTTAAATCCTTGTTTAGAGTAAATGTGCTTCAAAATGACAAGTAGAGATATTTGGAGAGAGTGAGCTTTGGGCTGATAGAAGTATTTCGTTAATCAAATGCATGGAGACCTAAACATTTTATGTGGAAGAAATCTGCATGGTACTGCAGTTCCACTTCAAATGTCGCAAAAGCTGCATTCAGTCCCAAGTGGAGAGAACACTTTGTACTTGGGGTAGCAGCAATAGTAGACTGTGTATAGGGACACACATAGCCTAAATCTCATCACTGCCTAAATCTTATCTTGAATGTTAAGTAATGAGCAGTCACAGTCTTAGAAAAAAAGAAGCAAGAGTACATCTTGGTAGGGGTTTTGAATTTTATGTTTTTTTGTTGGCATGCTGTGATTGCTTCAAGTATGCATTTTTAAAGCTAGAGATCCTTAAGTGTGACATTATCTTTCTGAATGTGAAAATATGATCTGCAATGGTGAAAATCTGTAGTGCTCATTTTTACTTAAAATCAGTTATTTAAAAAAATTGAGCTACTTATACTACTCTGCCCCTTTATTTTCAAGGCATAGTAGAGAGTCTCTGAGTCCTAATGAATGTGATGCAATGTGTAAACAGCATTGAAGTATTCTTTTGGTCACTACCATTCTTCTTAAGTTCTGCTAAGGGAATTTAGTAGAGTTAGAAAAATGCTAAACTGATAGACCTAAAAAAGTGAATACGCTGTGTTTGTTGTTCTACACATTGGCAGATACAGTGTGCCCTGCCTGGCAAGAATGGGCCTCACGTTCTGGCATTTAGAAAGGTGAAATTTTTATTTGGCTGTATTATATTGCTAAATGTACATGTGAAATTTCCTACAACCCCCTCCACAAATAAAAGTATGTTAATAGGTTATTATAGTGATACAATTAATAGAAAAGTTAGCAGCCATCTTTTAATCTCTAGTTTAAGAATGGTTCTACATCATTGGAGATAGTTAACACCAAAAAATGGTGAGACAGGAAGTAGAAGTCAGCTCTCTTTGAATACAAAACAAACGGATTCCAATCTCCATGGCCTCTATAGTTTTATAGATTTTATATCCTGTCTGTCCATTGTCAGGTCATATCCCTATAGTTTTCCTTAATGTGTAATATTCATATCTGCCCTAGCTGACGCTAATTCAAAATTCAAAATTGCTGTTATAAAATACTTCAATAAAAATTAGTTCAAATAGGTAATCCAATAACAGGAAGATAACAAACAGGGCTATGAATGCAGAGTTTCAAAATTACAATGGTGATATTGCTATAGGGTGTCAATATTTGGTAATATTTTTTCAGTGAAAAATGATCCTTGTTACCATATGGCAAAATACAGTGAAAATCTGAACTGTTAGACCAACACAGCTGTTAAATGCATCAATGCAGTGCTGTGTTTAAAATGTTTTCTACTGCCTCTATTATTCGACATTTCTAACAATTAATCTCAGGCTATTAATGGGCAGTAACTGCAAGTTGTGGTGAGCATCACAGATGTAAGAAATCTGATCTCTGTGGTAAGTTACCTAGGAGGAAAATGACTGAACTATAGCTTTCGACCTAAGTTCTATAGATTGGATAATAAACATTTATAGAACTATGTACTACAGACTCAAATCATATTTGATTTAACTTTTTTTATGAGAAGTCATTCTTTAAAAAAGTGATAGAAATTACACATGGAAGTCTTATATACATATAAATATCTGTGTATATATAATTTAATCTTATATATTCATGAAGGCTATGGAAGAATAACTGTATTAGAAACATCATAGTAATATCAATTTTTTCCTCTCTAAGCCAATTGAATTTGGAATGACATTCTAGAAATCTTCTATTGATTTATAACTGATAGGAACAAATCTGTGGATTTTTTTTCTAACTTTTCAAGTGCATATCTATTTTTATAATTCATACAAGAAATTGAGCAAAGACTCGAGAAAGTATCAACTATTATAGGAAAATGATCATAATCAGCTAAATTTTCTGTCACTATGTTACTTATGCTACAGGTTAGATCCAGATGGACTCTGTTGGTCTCTACTACTACTAAACTTTCTATACTTTTTTTTTTCATCTTAAAAACAAGTGATTTTGTGAGGTGGTTTTTTAGATTTTGGAGTGTGCACATAGAATAACCTCACTCTTATGCTAGACCCCTCCACTTTTAACTTTGAAGAAGCTGTGGCATTTCAATGAACTGATTTCTCTATTTAATAGCATCTCCATCACATTTCTTTTATTATTAACTATTCATATGAAATCACATTATTAGTATGGATATTTTAGTTGTAGAGAGCAGAAACTTTAGTAGAAAACAAAGTTGAATGGAGACATGAAGAAAAACTAAAGGAAACTTGGGCCTCCCGAGAAGGCCGAGAACTGAGCTTCTACTCTGTGAATCTTTTTGAGGGCCTTCCTGGGCAGTCTCTCTCTCATCCTAACCACCCCCCCCCCTTTTAATTGCTTCTTTTTAGTTATACATGATAATAGAATCCATTTTGATGTAATTACAAAAGCATGGAATATATCCTGTTCTAATTCAGTCTTCTCTTCTTGCTTATGTTCTGATTCCTACTTTTCTTTCGGTCTAATAAAATTCCTCAGACACTCCTTGGATTTAGGATATAATGCAGATCTTTATTTT